TGATAACGGCCTTTATCAAAAAGTCTCAAAACTAAATGTTTGCATGGTTGTGGAGAGATAGGAACATTCATACACTGCTGGTGGGATTGCAAACTAGTACAACCTCTGTGGAAAGCAATATGGAGATACCTCAAAAAGCTACAAGTAGAACTACCATTTGATCCAGCAATCCCACTACTGGGCATCTACCCAAAAGAATAAAAGACATTCTGTAAAAAAGACATCTGCACTAGAATGTTTACAGCAGCACAATTCACAATTACAAAGATGTGGAAACAACCCACGTACCCATCAACACATGAGTGGATTAATAAAATGCGGTATATATATACCATGGAGTTCTAGTCAGCCACAAAAAACAATGGTTATGTAGCACCTCTTGTATTATCCTGCATAGAGCTGGAACCCATTCTATTAAGTATCCCAAAAATGGAAAAACAAGCACCACATGTACTCACCATCAGATTGGTTTTAACTGATCAACACTTAAGTGCACATATAGTAATAATATTCATCAGGTGTCAGGCCGATGGGAGGGGGAAGGAGGTGATGGGTATATACACATCTAATGGGTGCAGTGTGCACTGTCTGGTGGATGGACATGTTTGAAGCTCTGACTCAGGTGGGGCAAGGGCAATATATGTAACCTAAACATTTGTACCCCCATAATATGCGGAAATAAAAAGAAAATTTAAAAAAATAACAAAGAAACAAACAAAAAAGATATAAAATAAAACCCCACAGAATGGGAGAGAATATTTGCAAATCATATTTGATAAGGGACTAGTACCCAAAATACATGAAGAACTTTTACAACTTAATGATAAAAAGAAAACCCAACTAAAAAATGGGTAAGTCATCTAAGTATTGAACGTACAGGTTTTGCATATACTGAAGAAGAGTAACACTCAATTTATCAATATCGATAAAATGTCCTTCAATTTTTATTACAGTTTCTACAAACAATTTACATAATGCTCTTGATTACAATGAAAATATTCTGCATATTGGGCAAAAGAATGAATAGATGCTGAAGATCACCAGATATCGAGAAGGTATCTCGCAGATCAATAAAGACAGATAAAACAATCAGTACAGTGTAACGGGGTAAAATAAAAAACAATTTTAAGATGTGTAAGGTTTTGAAAAATTCACCTTCTGTAGACCTTGCTCAAGAGTCTATCTATACTCTATTAATATAATGGAATAAAACAAGAAAGAGGAAATAGCCAACACAGGCAAGAGACAAAGGGAGCTCCCAAGCTAAGGATTATGGGAGAGACTCCAGGGTCACCCTGTGCCACAGCTGTGCAGAGCAACCAGTCAGGATTAGAGCAGGACAACACAGAGTTCACTGAAGAAAACAGAAAATGAACCCAAGAGATAACTAATACACATGAATGTTCTGAAGAGGGAGTTGCACTCCTGGAGGAAGACAACAAGATGAATTACACAGACTGCAGCGTAGAACCAAGCAAGTGATGAAACAAAGTTGATTAACTCCAGGGAAAACAAAAGTGTACAAGAAAGAAAATAGTCAGTCACACAGCACTGACTCAACTGAATGATATTAATGAAGTCATAAAAATGGAAACACTAAATAATTTAAGGACATATAATGATATAACTGAAGTCTGCTAGAAAGAAGGAAAGAGCAAAACCCCCGTACATAGCTGAGTGCCCAGGGATCTGTACCACAGCCCCAGATCCACACAGGCTGCTGTACTTGCTGGAGGAAGAGCGTATTTTCCTAATCCACACAAAGGCAGGACAGGGGCTACTACAGGCCTGGGGAAAGCAAGTGTAGGTGTGTTTGCAGAGAACAAGTCTTTCTCTCCCACAATTAATGGATACACAGTCATGAGCTACATAATGATGTCTCAGTCAATGACTGGCTTCTCATACGTCTCAGTCAATGACAGACCTCTCATACAACAGTGGTCCCGTAAGATTATAACACCATGCTTTTACTGTATCTTTTCTATGTTTAGATATACAAACACTTACTATTGCATTATATTAATAATTGCCTACAGTGTTCAACACAGTAACATGCTATACAGTTTTGTAGCCTAAGAGCAACAGGCTACACCATATAGCCTAGGTGTGTACTAGGCTCTAACACCTAGTTTTGTGTAAGTACATTCTGTGAGGTTTGTATTATGATGAAATCACTTACTGACACATTTCTTAGACTATATCCCCATCATAAAGTGATGCATAACCGTAATACAAAGTGAGAAAGAAAAAAAAATCAAGAAATAATGGCATAAGCAAGTTCCTTAGAAAAACAAGAGGTAAATATCAGAAAAAAAGCTAAAGAAATAGAAAGTAATTACTTCTAGAGAGCAGGAATGTGGGGTGAGAAGGGTAGCATGGAAGATTGCAGTTTTTCTTCTAAAAATTTTAAATTATACATGTCTAACTAATTAAAAGAACCTACCAGTAAAATTTAATATAGTAACTGATTAGAGGAAAAAAGTCATGATTATCTCAATAGATACAGAAAAAACAATTTGATAAAATTTAATACTCTGATTTAAGAAACTACCACAAATTTCCCTTAGCAAACTAGGAAGAGAAAGGAATATCTGCAGTTCAATACAGGTTATCTCTTACTTTTTAAGGTATAGGAAAGAAGGCCACTGTCACCACTGCTATTCAACGCTGACTAGAAAGTGGCCTAGCCAGTACATTAAAACAAGAAACAGTAAAAAAAAAAAAAAAAAAAAAAAAAAAAAAAAAAAAAAAAAAAAAAAAAGAAGAAGAAAGAAAAAAAAAGACAGAAACAAAAACTCTCTGGTACCCACATATGAATCTATTAAAAGATATGCAATATCAATCTCCCGGCTGTGATACTGTACTATAGTCATGCAAGACATTACCATTGGGGGTAACTGGGTAAAGGGTATAAGGAATCTCTTTGTATTACTTCTCATAACTGCAGGTGAATCTACAAATACTTTCAAATAACAAGTAGAAAACAAAAGGGTCCCTTTATGACAAAAATTATGTAACTTTACTGTAGGAAATAAAAGACCCAAGTGTACAAGTCATATACCATGTACATGGGTGGTGAGACTTAGTAATAGCAAGATACCAATTCTCCCCCAAATTAATCCTTAAATTCAATGCGTATCTAATAAAAAAACAGATATTTTGGTCAAATTTGATCATCTAAACCTAAACTCATAGTTAATAAGAACACCAAGAACAGCCTAGACAATTTTAAGAACAAGGAGGTGAAAGGACTCACTCTAGTCAAGGTTTATTACAAAGCTGTGGTATTTATGAGAGTCAGGCCCTCGCACATGGAGAGACAAATATACCAAAAGAATAGAAATAAAAGTCAGAAATGGATCCTTTATAAGGGAACTTGGTATACAACAGAAGGGAAATTTCCTATCAGTAGGTAAAAACTGGACTATACAACTAATAATGTTGGGATAACTGACCATCATAACAGTTAAGTTAGACCTTTGGGGTAGAAAACGATTTCTTTTTTTTTTTTTTGAGACAGAGTCTCACTATGTTGCCCGGGCTAGAGTGCCGTGGTGTCATCCTAGCTCACAGCAACCTCAAACTCCTGGGCTCAAGCAATCCTCCTGCCTCAGCCTCCCGAGTAGCTGGGACTACAGGCATGTGCCACCATGCCTGGCTAATTTTTTCTATATATATATTTTTAGTTGTCCAGATAATTTCTTTCTATTTTTAGTAGAGACGGGGTCTCGCTCTTGCTCAGGCTGGTTTCGAACTCCTGAGCTCAAGAAATCCACCCGCCTCGGCCTCCCAGAGAGCTAGGATTACAGGCGTGAGCCACCGCGCCCGGCCAGAAAAGGATTTAACACCTCAAAAGAACAAACTATAAGATAAAAGATTCATAAGTTTGATTTTAGAATGCATAAAACTTTTATAAGACTAAAGAGATCCACAGAAGGAAAAAAGCCTCTCTTAGATCAAATCAGAATTAGAAGAATGTACTCAGGAGAATATCTCACATCACATTTTTAAACAAAATACTAAATATTTTCATGGCAACAGGCATATGTGATAAAACTATAAATATAAGCAAAAGAAAGACATCCACTAACTTCAAGACACTGGTTATCTTGTATGGGAGGAAAGAGTAAATGATGGATGGGAAAGAGATTCTTCTTGTTTTTTTTTATAGAGACAGGATCTTGCTATTGCCCAGGCTGGTCTCAAACTCCTGGCCTCAAGCGATCCTCCTACCTTGGTCTCCCAAAGTGGTAGGATTTCAGGTGTGACCCACTACAGCGGGCCTAAGAAAAGAATTTCTTAAGCTGTATTTGTAATGTTTTCTTTTTAAAAATAGATTTGATGTAAAGACAGCAAAATGTTAATGCCTATCAATTCTGGGGATGGTTACATAGGTGTCTGATATTTTCTGTTATTATTAAAATACATAATTAACAAAAACACCAACAATAAAGCAAAGATAACCAATGGGACTAAAAAAAAAAAAAAAAATAGACCAGACTTGAAAATAAGGAAGAAAATGGTATAAGCAAGCTAAAGTTTCATAATTCATATTTTGAGGATCAATGGGTATTGCCTATAGTTGATGAATCAAGTAACAGTAGCGCAACCACGCCACAATATCTAGAGTTATAAAGGTAACCTACGGTAGATCTAAAATCAGAAACAAACCAGGTGGAGAAAAGCAGGAGTCTGTCTTTCATTTTAAGTGCGTTTGACCATTTAAAAGATTAACATGTGCATGCATTAGTTTGAAAAAAAAAAAAAGATATTTTTAGAAAAAAGAGCAAATGTTAATGCTCAAATTGAAGACTTAAAAAATGCCCATACTATCCCTAGAAAAATTTTTTTTTTTGGGAACTAAAGTAGTTAGTTATTCCCAAGAATTTCTAAATGTTTTATTTCAGTTAATAAAGGAATAATATAAAAGCCACCATACTGTAGCAAATATACCTATAGGAAACCAAATACAAGTCCTTCAAGTAGCAAAGCCGATTTACCCTGAAACTATATTATAGTTGAGAGCGGGATGGTCTTTTGGGACAGGAGGAACGAGAGGTTCTGGTTGCCACTCTTCAATCAGTTCTTCCTTTTCCTAAAGGAGAAAAAGAGTTAAAATATAGTGCAGTGTTAGTCACCTCACATTGACTTCAGCAATATCTAAATTGTTTCTTGTAATAAGAAAGTCATAATGAATATACTGCTAGAAATACCACGTCTAGCTGCTGTGGCTAGAATGAAAACACAATCGCTCTTGAGTTCTGTGCACTCACACCCTCACCTATTTCCTCATAACAAGCGAAATGATCTTTTTTCAATAACTTGACAATTTATGAAAATTTTATTTCTCTGCTGAGCATTTTTTTTCCTTATCATACACAACACATCAAAATTCAATTTGGAGTGGGTGTTGAGTAGGATTCTTTCAAATGTCAAATCTCCTTTAAGAAGACCACAGGGGAAACTTTTCCCTCAGGCTTCAGAAACAGTTGTACTTTTCCTGAGCAACTCATGTACCCTTCATATGAACATTCAAAATCCAATAGTTGTCCATGTTTCCCTCTAACCACCTATCTGTAAGATGGCTACTTACCCCTACCCAAGTATACAGGGCCAAACTATGGTATTCCTCTGGGTATTGACTTTACCCCAGCATTCCCCTTTTTTGCCTACCCTGATATTTCATTTCCCTTGATTTCCTTACACTACAGAAAACATTTTAATGTAACATAGTTGAACCACCACAAATCCTTTTTGGAAAAATGTAGCAACTGTAATGACACACCAAGTAATAAAACAGAGATTTAATTTCTTACCTTGACCGTAAGATCGGATCGTTCTTGTAATTTGTAAGTTTTAGAGAAAAGGAGTCTGATTATCCAGAGTATTAGAATTCCTTCCAAAATAAGATGGTAAGCAGGAGCCTAAGAGTAAGTCAAAAACAAAACAATAAAAGAAATGAAACACACACTTCCAAAACCTGTACATAAAAGTTAGTACACCTGTATATACTGCCTCCCATGACCTTTAATTTATTACTTCTTATACTTTACTTTCAAAGCTCCCTTAATTTCTACTCATTCCTTTTCCCATTTCTAATAGCAGGCAATTTCTCCTTCACATGAAAAACCTCTGATACTTTCAGCTTTTAAAACCTCTGTAGAAATAAAAATTAAATTTTAAAAAATAAAATCTGACACAGAATCGCAATATCTAAAACAATATCAATTATCAGATCCTTTAGGTAATTTAAATTTTTACTTGTGGGAAATGATTATCAAAACATTTCACGGCTAAACAAGCCTTCTATTACTTCCATCTATCCATGGATGAGTTAATACAGTCATGTGGAAACTAGTTTCCACAATTCTTAAAGTTCTGTGCATCTTGTACTCTCTGCATCCCTGATAAATTTCTTTAAATCCTTCTTGGAATATGGCAGAGGAAAAAAACGCTATAATGCTTAAACACTTAAAGGAACAGAAGGTCTTGTCTCTACCACAGTTCCCCAAAAGTATGTAGTGTTTTCCACTCAATAGACATAAAGATACTTTATCCTTCTCAGATCTTCTTTTCAACTGTATGTTTTCTGGATAAAGGCTAGGCTGACTTTTTTGTTTTCTGTAAATAGGCATTAGTGTCGTACACGTGGAAGATTTCAGATATCAACTAACCCCCCCGTCAGTCATGAAGTGCTCTACTCCAATGGGTTGTCCTTGGAAAAATCACTTAAAACAGGCATTTAGAAATGTAAACACAAATTATTTTCAAATATTAGAAAGAAAGAAAATGATAATGATTCACTACAGTTTAAAAAAACAAATCAGAATTTGGAGACTGGAAAACTGCTAACAAATTTGTACACAAACCTTCAAGTCAGTGCATCACTAACTTTAAAGCCATACACACATACTACACACACACACACACACACACACACACACACAGTTATTTCTTTTGGGGGTACACTATTCAAGACTCCTCAAATTCTACATACAAAGCGCATCAGAATTGGGTCAAGAAGTCTCTTTAAGATGATTTTTAAAATTTTCTGATCCCCTTGAATATAATTCATTTAGAAATAAGTCTAAATACCCTTTTAATTTTCTCAATAATTGGATTCTAGCAGGCAAACATCTGCCCCAGCCACTAGTTAAACAGCCTGCCCCACAAAGAAATCACTCCGAGAAAAGCTGAGAAACTATTTATCTAGTGAATTAATAAAAATCACAAATGCCACTTCTTTTCCTCCTTAGGAAATGTTATATACAGGGGGCATTCTTCCAAGTCTCACTGTTGGACAATTTCAGAGTATGAGAAGTTACCCTGTCAGACAGTCTTGAAAAAGGGAGCAAACAACATATGATATAAAACAATTCATTTCTAAAAAACATCACTTAAAAAATCATTCGATTTCAGTGGCTCTTCCTAGTTGCTACAATTAACCTAATACTGCACATTACTTAAACAATATATGAGGACAGGAAAGAGCCACAACTGCTTTCTTAGCTATTTTTCGAGAAAAAAATTTCCCAATGTCTTGCAATGGAAGACACCATCATTACGCCAGCCAATAAACAGTACTAGTAAATTTCAAAAAAAAAAAAAAATCAAAAGAAAAGTGAAATTCACTTTAAATGAGTGTATGCTCTATAACCACAGGGCTTTTCACCTGTTTATTATCTGTGCGGTCCATGTGGCTACTTAAATTTATATTTAAGTTAAATTAAAAATAATAGCCATATATGGTTAGTGACTACTATATTGAACACCTCGTAAATAGAAGCAAAAAGTGCTACAGGGCGGCGCGGGGAATATCAGTTGTTAAATGAACATTCTCTGACACTGTAATTTCATATTATCTTACACATCTGAAATAGCTAGCCTTTTAAAAAACTGTTAACTCTTCTTTCTTTACAAAGTTACTAAAATTAGTTGTGTCTTTATACGACAGAAAATGGGACGTACACGGAAGAATGACAAAGTATTTTTTATTCCTAAATCCTAAATCACTCGATCTCTTGCGCCCCCTCCCACGTGTTCCTTTCCTCCGACAGGACCGGGAACGGGGGAGCTCGAACCGGGGAGCTCGGTCCGAGGCTCCGCCATTCCCTCCCTACACTCCGCCGCCGGGACTGGGAGCTCCCAGGAGCTCTTCCAGCCAGAGACGCTGAGTCGCTGTGGGGCGTGGCCGAGCCAACGCGGCCGAGGCCTCCACAAATCCACACGCGCCGTCCTACCCTGCCCAGGGCTGGATGTAGTCGTGGGCCTCTTGGGCCGCGGACCCACCTCATAGAGCGCCTGTACCATCTCCACCAACACCCACTGCTCCGCCGTGGTCGCCATAGTCTCCAAGAATTTTTTCCGGGACACAGGCACGTCCGAAACAACGCGCGGCGCGGCTCAGTGACGTCTTCGCCTTGGCTGGGACAGGGCGGCTGCCGGGACCTGCCTCTTCGCACTTGCGCACTAACTGGCGCGGGGGGGGGGAGCGGGAATCACGTGGCTAGATTCTCCAATGGTCGTTGACCGTTTTCCCTGATGTGCCCGGCCCCGTGCTGGACTCGGGATGGAGGGAGTAACAGTAAATGGCCTTTGCCTTGGCAGTCAGTTGAGCACAGAGGTAAGAAATCCAGTTGCGTATTACGATTGAAAAATAAAGAACTATACATAAAAATAACCAGCTCTTACATAGCGCTTACAAAGTGTAGAGCATAGTCTAAGTCTTTGCGGTTATTAAGTCCTAGAGCAGTTCGGTGCAGAACGTTTTAGCACCTTCGTGTGCACATGCGAACTATGCACACGCATGCACACGCACATGCTTAATTGGATTGGATTTCTTAAATATAATTGGGGCCCAGGACAATATGATCGTGTGGAATTTCATCTACAACTTACTTTTTTCTTATTTGTTTTTCTAGCAGTTTTTCACTATGTATCTTGTATTTTTAATGACTGAAGACTATTTTCTTGAAATAATTTATTGTGTGTATGTCTCCTTCCATTTTATTTAAACATTTCTCTATTGGTGAACACTTACAATATTTCTACCTTTTTCCCCTTACAAACAATGCCGCCCTAAACGTTGATGTTCTGTATGCATATATTTCTGTGTATGTCCGAGTATTTCTGATCGGTTTTTTTAAAGTGAAATTTTAGTCAAAAGACTATGCACGTTATTAATTTTGATAAATACTGCCATACTGCCTTCAAAATGGTTCAACCAGTTTAAAATATTTGTAAGTGCTTCCATGCTGTAGTCCACAATGGATATTAGCTGTCTTTTAAAAAATTTTTTGCCAATTTAATGGAAATAAAATTGAGCTTTATTTTTCATGCTTCTGGTTACTCATGAGGTTGAGCAACTTCTTATATGTTTATTGGCATTTATAGACCTTCTATGAATTGCCAGTTCATATTCTTTATCTGTTTTACTATTGGTTAATTTTTTTCTTATGGATTTGTAGGAACTCCATGCATTTTGAATATTGTTTTCATATTTCATATGTGCAAGTTATTTTCCCTCGGTTTCTGTCCAGTTGTTTCTGTTCTTTTGTCATGCCTTTATTTCAAATTTTATGTGGAGTGATGATTCAATCTGCTTCTTTATTGACTCTGACTGTGTCTTGCTTAGAAAGGCCTTCTTCACCACACCTGTGATTTCCTACCATTCTCACATCAGTTTGCTGTTGTTACAGCTCTTTGCAAATTATATTTTTGTATGATGAGAGGTAAGGGATTTAATTATTCTTTTCCAAAAGAATAACAGATTTATTGAGTGCCCTTTATTCGAATAATCCTTATCCTGACTTTCCGTAATACTCTGAAATGGCACCAGTACTACATATTACATTTCCACATGGAGTTAGCATTATTTAGCCTATCATGTCAGTGCTCTGCCCACGTTCCCTCACATGCATTCCTATGTTTGTGCACATTGCCTTCCCTAGGTGCTTTCATTCCAACAGACCACACCTGCGTTTCTCAGAGCCCTACCTCAAAGGCTGCCAGATCCATGTTTCCTGCTCTCGTGGAGAGTTGGAACTATCTTGAGAATTTATCTTCTCCTGGCCAATACTTGATGGTTGCTGGGATACAAATATTGCATCTTCCTTGCCGCTCATAGCAAGACAACTCTGAGGGGTGAACCTCACCACCTGCCCTGCAATTCTGAATCAATGGTACTATGTGCAAATTATCTTACGTACCCATCAAGAAGTGTAGTCTATGTTTCCTCCCCTCAAGGTTGGGAATATCTTTGTGACAGCTTCTACAATAGAATGCTGCTGCCATGTAGAGAAATCATGGGGGGACTACATGGTTAAGGGGCCACATCTGCTCCAGCCTTTAATTATTGGAGTCCTTAGATGTCAGACACATGAGGGAAGACACCTTCAAGACTGGCCCAGCCCCAGCCACCATCCGGTTACAACCCCTAAGAGACGCTGAGTGAGATATACCTAGCTAAGCCCAGGTGACCCCAAATGTGTGAGCAAAAGAAATGATTGTTACTGTTTTAGGCCACTGTCTTGGGATTGTTATACAGCAGCAGATAACTGGAACAGATACCATGTGGGACTTTGCTTGATTTTGCACTCTTGCTTGGCTTCTGTATTAGTTTTCCAGGGCTACCATAACAAATGATCACAATCTGGGTGCCTTGAAACAGCAGAAATTTATTCTTTCACATTTCTGGAGGCCAGATGTCCAAAATAAAGGTCTTGACAGGGCTGCACTTTCTCCAAAGGCTCTGGGGGAAAATTCTTCCTTGACTCTTCAAGCAAGAACCTTGACTTAGTCACATCTGCAAGGAACCTTTTTCCAAACAGGGCTACATTTACGAGTTCCAGGGATTAGGATGTGGACATGTACTTTTGGGGGCCGTCATTCAACCCACTGGCCTCCCAAATTCACATCTGTCTCATGTACAAAATACATTTGTTCCATCCCAGCACCTCAACTTTCATCTAAATATTAATTCAAAAAGTTCCAAATTTCATCTTCTGAATAATCTAAATCAGGTATAGGTGAGTCTCTGGGAATGATCCAGGAAATTTGCAGGGTCAAAATTCCTCTGCATCTATTGACTAGAAAACAAGAAGCTAGAAACTAGAAAACAAGTTATCTACTTCCAAAATACAATGGCAGGACAAGAGTATAGTATGCAGTCCCTTTGCAAAAGGGAGAAAATGGAAGGAATAAAGGGGTCTTCAGTCCCAAGCAAGTGAGAAATTCAGTAGGGCAAATTTAATTTGGTTTCAAGGCCTGAGAAATAATCTTCTGTGGCTTGAAGCTGCATCTTCTGGGCCCATGACATCATAGGCCTCTTTGCTCGTGGCAGCTTGGTAGGTCGCTGCTGCTGCACCTTCATTCTCTACCCCTGTGACCACGACTTTGCTCTCATAGTCATTCTTCCTTTTTCTCAAACGGCAGTACAATGTTTATAGCCAAGTAGCTCTATCAGCCCTGCCTATGGAATTGTGGAAATCTGACAGCCCTCTTTTACTTTGTCCTGTCTCTGTTCCTTCCAGCCAAGCTGACAGTGTTTCTACTGATAAAACATTCTCAAAAAGCTTGTGAGTCTCCCATGTATGTCACAAGGATCCATGCCATTAGATAAGAGGGCCCTGCACAGATCTTTCCTAGATAACCCGATATCTATTCCTGGATCTGCTGAGATGGTTGAGGGTATCCATTAGTCATTTGTCATACATCAAATCTCTTCAGCAAAAGATCATCTAGGCATACTCTTGGCCCTCTATCCAGAGCACTCCTTTTCAATAGTGAATTTGCTAATTTTAACATCCTTACATTCTGGATAAGCCAAGAAACTCCCAAATCATCAAGTGCTGTTTCTTTTTGCTTAACAGCACCTTCCTCAATTTACCTTTCCTTCTGTGTTTTATTATAAGCAGCAAGAAGAAACCAGGCCATAACTTCAACACTTAGAAATCTCCTCTCCTCATCTAAATATTTAACTTCATCACTTATAAATTCTACTTTCCTCATTTCCTTCTTAGCCTTCAACAGAAACACCTTTAACATCCATATTTTTACTATAATAACATTCTGCTCGTGTCGAGATATAAATTCTTTAGAATGATAGAAGTGTTCTCTACTATGCTCTTCATTTCCTTCTGTCCCCTCACCAGAATTGCCTTTAAAATTCACATTTCTACAAATAGTCTCTTTAGTAAAGTCTAGGAGTTTTCTCTCAAGCATTTCACAATTCTTCCAACTTCTACTCATTACTCAATTCCAAAGCCACCTTCTACATGTTTGGATATTTGTTACAACAGCATCCCATTTCTTGGTACCAAAATCTATGTTAGTTTCCTAGGGCTACCATAACAAACTGACACAAACTGTGTGGCTTAAAACATGAAAAGGATTCTCATAGTTCTTGAGATGAGAAGCTCAACATGAAGCTCAACATGGCAGAGCCCGCTCCCTCTGAAGGCTCTAGAAGACTCTCCTTGCTGCTTCCAGGTTCTGTAGGCTCCGGCATTCCTCAGCTTGTGGCTGCACCACTCTAATTTCTGCCTCATCTTCCCATGTCCCTCTCTTTCTTTGTATGTTTCTCCTCTGTATCTCCTATAAAGACATTTCTCATTGGATTTAGGGCCCACCTGGATAATTCAGGAAAATCTCATCTTGAGATTCTTCATTACATCTGTTAGGACCCTTTATCCAAATAAGTCCACATTCATAGATTCTAGAGTATATTAGTTAGGGTTCTCCAGAGAAACAGAAACAAAACCAATAGGATATGTGTGTATATATATATGTGTGTGTGTGTACATATATATGTCCTATATATATAGGCGCATATGATTATGGAGGTTAAGAAGTCCCATGATTTGCCATCTGCAATTTGAAGAACCAGGAACATTGGTGGTGTAATTCAGTCCTAGTCTGAAGATTTAAGAACAGGGAGCACCAATGTCCAATGGCAGAAGAATATGGATGTCCCAGCTCAAACAGAAACAAATTCACACTTCGTCTACCTTGTTGTTCTATTCAGGCCCTCAACAGATTGGATGATGCTACCCACGTTGGGGAGGGCCACTTGTTTTATTTAGTCTATTAATACAAATGCTAATCTCTTCAGGAGACAACCTCATAGACATACCAGACATATTGTTTTACCAGCTATGTATCCCTTAGCCCAGTTAAGTTGACACAAAAAATTAACCAACACATGGGGACTAGTACATGGCCATGTCATTTTGGGGTCCACCATTCAATCCACTATACCCTCCTCCTCTTCCTCATCCCAACTTCCCACTCTCCTACCAGTTTTTCTTGAGGATATTCACTAATAAATTACTTTTATGTAATTATACAGA